GCCTGCTGCTACAGCAGCTGACAATAAAGAGACTTGCCTTATGTTCCCATGACCGTACATGTTTGCTCCTTGCATCTTTGCAGTGAGCATGTATTAGATCACAAAATGAGAGGGAGGAAGCAGACTCCATCATATTAATACCCCTACTATCCTGGTGCACCCACTGCTCCCCTTTTGGCCCTCACAGCACCCCCAGACGAGGCATGGCTGGAGAAGCTCGCCTTATTTGTGTTGCTTTTGGTTTCCCCTCCCAGGGCCTCAGCAGCCTCCCTCCGAGCCTGGCAGCATTCTGCCCTTGGGAACACGGCACTCTGGTCTACGTTGGCTTTGGGCTGCAGAAGGAAGCCTTGTTTTACAGTCTGCGCAAGAAGCAGGTACTTGTGCCCTCCCTGTGCCATCCGCTGCCCTTCCAGCGCCCGCGGGTTTGCGTCTGCTGAGGAGTCGACCTCAGCTCGCGATGAGCAACGTGCAGCGGGTGGTGAGGCAGCGCTGCCTTGTCTCGACCTAGGAAACCTGCAGGCCAAACCAGGGTGCTTTGCAGGCTTTCTGCCCTGGAAGAGGGGTGGCTCTAGGGAGCAAGGTGCCCTCTTGATGCATGTCCTATATAGGTGGCACCCCCACACAGGACCTCGAAGCGAGTAGTACCAGTAAAAGAGAGTATAAAGGTGGGAGGTAGGCTCAGCCCAGCAGCTGGTCAGTGCAGCAACTTTTCTCTTCCAAAACTCTGAAGCTGCCCCATGTAAGCAGCGAAGAGCAAGAGTGTCTGCACCCATCTGGAGCTGCTTGTCCCCAATGCTGCCCTCCTGCTTTCTATGCTGATGGTGGGAGGCTTTTGCTTTCAGAAGCACTACCAGTCTCTAAACTGAGTCTCCTCTGGAAAATCAATGCCTTGGGCAGGGGTCTGAGCTCTGAGCAATGCTGCGCATCTGTCAGCTGTCCCTTTGAGGGGAGCCCTTTGCCTTCCTGAAGGCTGTGACTTAAGCAGCTCTGTTCTGCTGCCTGCTCATTTCTGAGCTGCTGCTGTTTCTCTTGCTGGAGTGCAGGTGGTTGAGAAGATCTCCTTGCCGTACTTTGCCATGTCGCTGAGCCTGTGTCCTGCAGCGCACTTTCTAGCCGTTGGCTTTGGCGGTAAGTACTGGAGGGTGCCACGGGCTCTGCTGCCTGGTAGCCCGTCCCCCAGTTACTCCGATACACAGCAGGGAGCTGCCGCCCGGGGCTCTGCCACCTCCCTGACCAGCCGTTCCCTCCTGCTCCTGCTGTGAGGAGCTCTCCCCATCCCTCAGCTTATCCCAGTGCGCATCAGTCTCCCCATCCCTCAGCCTATCCCAGGGTTGGTCAGAATGTGGGATGAACCCTGTGTGCTCACAGGGTGGCGATTATCAGCAAGGGGAGCTAAACAGGAACGCAGGGCCGAGGAGAGGTCTCACTTTTACCCTGGGGTGAAAGGCAGCCCCTGCTTCCACAGCAGGCTCCGTGCTTGGGCACCCGGACCCAGGGCGAGGGCTTGAGCCCGTTTGGGAGGAGCGGGTGTGCGCACTGGGGGGCAGCAGAGCTG